TTCTTTCTGTTCTCTTCCAGGATATTTGGAAAATAAACCACTGCAGTTTTGCCTTGCTAAAGAAGCTGCATGTATCACCACAGGTCCCGAGGTTTAAAATAAGGAAACAGAACAGAGTACAGTTTTCCTATATATGCAGTATCAAATACTACAAATATATACTAAAATATAAATGCTCTATTAATATGACATACCCTAAACATATCATACAAAACATCTATACTCTATAGTGTGAATATCGTGTTACAACTGTTGGATTAAAACCACTACCTTGTCCACAACAAAACCACTGTCCAACAGACCCCTGCTGCAGGTACCTGCCAATCATACCTTTATGCAACATTCCCCCCTTTGGAAGAAAGCAGGTTTTTTTTTAGTTTCCAATAGTTAAAATGAAATTTACTGCTTTGTGTACTTATTTTTCCTTAACCCCTTTGTAGGTCACTCAGTTGTTCACTTGTCATACAAAACTTTTTTTCAGAGTTCTTTCAGGCCTGTTACTGCAGCAATTGATACTAAAATTGTACCTCAGAGCAGTGCATTTCTTCAGTTTTGTCTAATTGAAAATGAGTAAGGTTCCTTGACATTTTAACTTGCTGTGCACTGAAGGTTCTTCATGCTAAGAAAACCTGACAGTGACCTACTACAGGATATCCTGGGGTTAAAGAACACAGTACAGATGAAGATGATACCCTTACAACTGAGATCACCATGCTCTTTCTGCCCAGACTGATGCCAACACATCAACATATTTAACCACAGTAAAATTAAAATGTAGGAGTTAACTACCTTTCAGTAAAAATCCAGATTAAAACCCCAAACACTACTCTGTTTACACTGAAGATTTTCAGGCCCTGAAGCTTAAAGAAAACATGCTAGAAAAGTAGTATGATCCTTTCAATATTATCTACATCTCTACACTTTTCAAAATACTTCCTCTCCATTCTCCCCATCACAAAAAAAAATAAAAATATGTGTCATAAAATTGAATAAGGCTTCCAACTACTGCACTGGTTACAAAAACCTGAATCTATCCCTGATTCTGACATGCCAAGGTCTTCAGCTAAACCAACACTTTGCTATGTTAAAAGGAAATGCAGATTTCAACAACAGCACACTTGGCACAGTCACTTACCTCTTGAGCCTCCCAAAGTTGTTGCTTTAGTTCTTCATTTGGCACTTCAGCATTAGATTCTGTAAGATTGATAGCAGATACTAAATGCTGAGAAACTATAATATTTACAACAGAAAACATGAGAATTTTCTTTACCCTGAAAACTGGTAACAGTCAAAGGTATATTTTTTCTTCAGGAGCCAATTAAAAGACTTAAGAAATACATAAATACTAAAATCAAACATATTGTTTCATAGTTAAAGAAGGGCAATGGAAAAAAAAAAGTCAGTTATAAAGAGACCTAAAATAAGGACAATTATTTTAGAATTTCATAAAAGAACCAAACCCACACCCACAAAAGTACCAAAACCACAAAACTGCCATCTTGATTAAAAAAAAACAACAAACCAAACTTCTTTTTTTTAGCTTCTTTTCAGATTGTAACTTTTAAACAACCACAGTCAACAACACAGCATCTAACTCTATTTAGAATTAATGTCAATTTTCAAGATTGGAAGATGGAAGTATGTTAGTGGAGTATCCCACAAGATCCAGTATTCCTCTACACAAGAAGTTACTACTTCTCTTAAACTAAGCAGGATAAGATGCATCCTTCTGCTAAATCCAAATCACGATGCAGTGGACTTTAGTCATGCTTTCATGGATGCTGCTGTGTGATAGACCTAGATCTAAGACAAGCATCACACAAAGATGACCAAAGATCACACAAAAAGACCAGCATAATGGCAGTGAAACCAACAGGAATTATGCTGTTTTCCTGACATCTTTGCACTGAAGATGCTGAATCCAATAAAGAATAATTACATGTCTTATAGCAGTGTGTGGAGAGGATAGCAGGGACTTGTTCTAAAGGAGAAAAATAAGCAAGTTACACAGAAATACTTTGGTCAAAATACTAAAAATGGCTAAAAATGTAAGGGAAAGCAACTGATGTATAATAAACAGCACTGCCTATATTTGATTTTATCTACAGTAGTGTTATCTTCACCCAAAAAAAGAGAAAGGAAAAAAAAAAGACAAGACCAGAGAGCTGAGATTTGCAGATTCCAAAACCAACTTCTTAACTTCAAAAATACGCCAACAGCAAATGCGATTTTGAGTATTTAGCCATAAGCTTTCACAGAATCATAGAATCACAGACCAGTTTAGACTGGAAGGGACTTCAAAGCTCATTCAGTTCCAACCCCTTGCCATGGTAAGGAACACTGGAACAGGTTGCTCCAAGCCCTGTCCAACCTGGCCTTGAGCACTGGCAGGGATGGGGCAGCCACAGCTTCTCTGGGCAACCTGTTCCAATGATAGAACCTCTAGGAAAACACACTTAAACCAGGAGTCCAAGAAAGTCCATTAAATTTCATATATATATTTAGAGAAAACCAATGCTGTCCCCCACCACAGGATGCTCTTTTCTAAATGTCACTTTCAAAAGCAAAACTAAGCACTTTAAAAATGGTCAGTTTACACTAGAAGGGCCACAGCCTCACTTACTGAAAAGCAATTTTGCTGTCAAATGTTTTGGAAGGTATAGGCACAGAGACTACTCTACCTCTCCTACTATGACACTAACAGCAGCCTTAGGGGCTGCACCAACCACCCTGTGAGGCTGCACTGGATCCTAGCAGTCATGTCCCTTGGAATCCTCCAGAGATCTCCAAGTGTTTTAGCACACACTCTGTCTTGTGGACACCTCGTGAAGCAAATGAACTGCTTGGTTTTGCTAACAGGGGGTTTTCTCATGGTAAATAATAAACACTCAAATTACTCTTACCACAGCTACGCTGTCGTGTGGAACTAGTAACAGGCTTTTTTGATGATCCATTGTAAAAACTGTTTTGTTTTGAGCCAGGAAGAGTTGCAGCATCACTTTCTTCACTCTCTTTGCTGACAAGAGAGAATGACAAGCCTTTCCAGACCCCTTCCTAGATTTAAATGAACAGCAGCTCTGTAAATTTTCCCCTTCATAAACACCTCCGGGTCTTCTCCCGAGGCCGTTTCCCAAGTCTCCATATGCCATGTCATCCTCTTCTGCTTCCTCCATTTTCTCCTCCCGAGTTTTGGTCGGTCGTCTTGTTTTCTGACCTAGAGCACTTCACTTACCGGTGATGTGAACAGCACCTCCCACAAAACACGGATTCTATCTAGAAAAAACAGGAAAACTCAGTCATGAAAGCAGCAGAACAACCCTAAAGTGAAAGAATCTGAAAGTGGTGGTGCGTCAGCCGCTTCCAAGGCAGGTTGAGGCTGTCGGAAAACACAGTTCTGGCCATGCGGTGAAGCTTTAAAAGCGTGGGACCGCCCTAGTGAGGGTGGAACCTCTTCGGGGCCTTCCCCTCTTCTTTCCCCCCAGGTACCGGAGCTCCCAACTCACTTGCTGAGCCAACCACAGGCCAGCCTTCCCGCCCTGGCGCGGGCTGAAGCCTCGGGAGCTGGCCCGGCAGCTAGCATCGTGGCAAGCGGACCTGTAACCAGTCAATGAATAAGTCACTTGTGAAGGATTGTGTGCGTGAAAGTTTGAAAATCTTGAGTTTGGAACGATGATGTTCCCTTGCCAGCTCACAGGTGTTGGGAAGAGGTAGAAGAGTGATGCATGAATCCTTTGGATCAGAAGAGGAAAAGCTAACTTCAGAAAGATTAGAAAGAAACCCGGGGTCGAAAACAGAGAAGCAGTTTTGAAAAGTGCAGGAAGACAGAAGTTAACGTTTCTAAAGGGACTTGTTTCATTATGGAGGGCTGGAGCATTGAGACAGGCTGAGAGAGCTGGACTTGTTTAGCCTGGAGAAGGCTGCAGGGAGACCTTAAAGCAGCTCACAGTGCCTAAAGGGCTGGCTGACAAGAAAGCTGGAGAGGGGCTTCTGACAAGGGCCTGTAGGGAGAGGAAAAGGGGGTATGGCTTTAACCTGACAGAGGAGAGATTGAGATAAATTCTGAGGTAGAAGTTCTTACCTGTGAGGTGGAAGTTGTCCAGAGAAGCTGTGGCTGCCCCATCCCTGGCAGTGTTCAAGGCCAGGTTGGACAGGGCTTGGAGCAACCTGGTGTAGTGGAAGGTGTCCCTGCCCATGCCAGCAGTTGGAACTGCATGAGCTTTAAAGTCCCTTCCAACCCAAACCAGTCTGGGATTCTATGATTATAATCCTAGAAATCACACCCCATAAGGTAAGACACCCTTGCCCACAGAGACATTCGCTCAAGTAACATGCATGTGCTGTGTCCTTAAATAGAGAGAATGCAAGAGCAAATGGGTGGAGATAGAGGGTGTTTCCTACACAGAAAACGCCAATTACCACCATTTGAAATGTCTTACAAATGATAGCTGGCAGACCGATGGTGTGCTGATTTTGTGTACCCGTCCCCCAGCACCCATCTCCGTGCAAATATGAATTAAACAGTATCTTGACTCTGTGTCTGAGATTAGCTTGTTGCACTCCGGGTGAACAAGCCCACATTTTCACAACAGAGGGAGTGGTGGTTATGGTGCCGAAGGTCTGTACTTCACCTACAGCTTCCCCTCCAAACCAATAGCACGACTTTGCTGCGCGGGATGTGGCAATTCAAAGCACACTTATTTGTAAGTGCTGTCCAGTGCACCTCCATGCCTTAGATCACCCTTCACCTGGTTTCACAGTACCCCTGACAGCAGCACATGCATGTTTACATCTTTACAACATTTGGTCCCAATTCTGCAAGGAAATCCACATTTTTCACCATTTCAGTTCACATGAGTGTCAAACTGCTGATATGGTATTCCTCTGTAAGTCTCACAAAACAAACAAACAAATAAACAAACCACAAAACCACCCCAAAAAAATTTCTACCAAATTTGGAACCAAAATAGAACATGTAACCACAGTACCCTTTACCATAAAAATTTTCAAGGTAGTAAGACTTTTATTACCCAGACTCATGCATATAAAAAGTTAATTAGCAAGCACTTTCTACTTGTGCAAGAATCTTTCATGAGGCTTTACAATCCACATTATCAATAAGAAAGGTTATTTCATGCTCTTCCAGGACCCAGGCTTTACAAGCACTGAGAACAGATAGCTGCCAGCATCTTAAGTGTAACCATGTTTTGGATTGCAGGAGGTTTGTTATTCCCACCAAATATTTCTGTGATAAACTTACAATGATAAATATGATAGAGGTGGGTGATACAGAGAGGAAACAGAGAAATAAAACTTATTGTTTAATACACCACTCCAGTGCAGATATAGCTGATGATTCCTTACAGCGTAAGTAATTCCCAAAGTTTTGTGTAAGGACTTTAAAATATCTCCCTTACTAAGTCATGTCTCTTCTACCCAAACGAAGCACCCTCCTTAAACTTTATCATACAACCCTCATTCCATGTTGGCCTCCACATATTCAAGAAGGCAGTAGAGTACAGAAGGTTTTAGTCTAACAGTTCAGAAACAGACTAACCCCTTTTCAGGATACTGTTTCAGAAATCAAAAATTTGGTATAAAGCTCCACAGCTGCCACCAGTTATCAGGACTTTACGGTTTTCTTGGGGATCCTGGGGGAGGAGGCCTGGTTTTACTTGCAAGCTCAAAGAAATTCTTATTATTGAACCTAGTTCCTCCTACTAAGGCAACTGTGACTTTCATTGACTGCAGAATTTTCACTTTGTCAGTTTTCCTGTATGCCTCCCCCAGAGGCTGTTCAAAGCCTTCAGCCTTCCATGCTTTTGTCTGGTCCCCAGCCATGCAAAATAACAATAAAATTAATTTTAATGTATCATACAAGAATTACAATTGTCAAATATTAACACCCCTCACCCCCAGAAGAGATCCAGCAGAGTTCTTTTGCACCAAATGTCAATTGTTGTCTTTCATCCATTGCTCAATCCATTGCATAATCTGATCCAAATTTCTCTCCAGGTCTTCAGGAGTATTGCTGTGTAACTGGTGTACAATTTCCTTTCTATATGACAACAGAGCTTCCTCATAAAGTGTCTGAAAAATTTCACACTGAATGTTGTCTTGCAGCTTTTTCCCCTTGTATCCCCTTAAAAACAACACCAAGAGACAGTCTTAGACATGTTGATAACTATAAAGTATCCCACAGAGAATCAGTAATTTATACCCTAAAAAGATCTTTTATGAGGTCACATAACAGTTCTTTGTTCTTATTTATCCACTGACATACCTGCTTTCAAGTCTGTCATAGAGAAATGAATTTTCTGTACGAAGTACAAACACGATATGAAACCAGCGTTCAGGGAAGAAATCACAGCCATGATAATCAACAATAACTCCACCCTCACCCATTTTATCTTCTAGCTCGTCTATTACCTACAAAAGAAACAAAGACAAGCAAGTTTACCTGAAATGACAGAAAGTCAAAGTACAAGCACGATAGTTTTAGAAGTTGGGCTTACTCTGTCTTCATCCAAAATTGGACAGTCATACTCCTCATCAAAACCTTCATAGAGTTCTCCTGCAGCAAAAAGAATTTGTGGAAGTTTGTGAAGTAAAAGCAGTTACTAAAATTATTTTTGTAGTTATGTTTATTTCAGGAGGATACAAACAAAGGATAGTGTTCAGAGCAAATCCACAAAAGGGTAAGTTTGTTGTTACTTAATACAAAGTGGGCCACAGTCACATAAATGCTTTTTTACCCTATGCCACCAAAAGCATTTCTGTTAAAGCAAATTCATTGCCATTTCACTTAATATATAATGCATGCACTGCAAATTGTACAAAGCAAAAATATCTTAAGTCCTTTGATGAATTATATTGTTAATATGGCCTACCATCTTTTGCCACGTCACCCACATTAACATAGGTCATTCCCGTTCTTGATGCCAGCTCTTTTCCGAGTGTGGTTTTCCCAACGCCTGGAGTACCTAAAGACACAACCCCATGTAAAACAGTAGGAGAACAGCATGTAAGTCCTCTTCAGATAACCTTCTAAGGCATCAAAACGGAAGCTTTTTCAGTCAATGCTCCAAGTTTGTACAAGAAAAAGGGGGCAAAACCCTGCATGATGAGGAAATGTAAATAAGAGTAATGCCTGGAGAGGAAAAAAAAAAAATGAAAGAACTATGAAGAAAAGTCTCATTTTGTGCAAAAGTTTTATTATAATCAGGATGATCACAGAATCCCAGACTGGTTTGGGTTGGAAGGGACCTCAAAGCTCACCCAGCCCGAACCCCCTGCCACGGGCAGGGATACCTTCCACTAGACAGGTTGCTCCAAGCCCCGTCCAGCCTGGCCTTGAACACTGCCAGGGATGGGGCAGCCACAGCTTCTCTGGGCAACACCACCTTCACAGGGAGGAACTTCTTCCTCAGATTTCATCTCAACATCCCCTCTGTCAGTAAACCTTGTTTCATTTAAAGCCTGACCCAACACAAGAAACCTTAAGTTGCCACTCAGCACAGCTCAGCCGCTGTTCCGCAGGGACCTCACACTCCAGACAACGGGTAGAGATGGATGGGGCGTCTCTCCGTCAGGCCCAGCCCAAGCCGCTAGGGTCCGTCCCGTCCCGTCCCGTCCCGTCCCGTCCCGTCCCGTCCCCGGAGCCGGTGCCGCGCACCCGTCAACAATAGGTTAGGTCTCCTCATCCTGCCGCTCCACACCTGCTGCGTGCACTGGACGTCTAGGCGATACGTAAACAGGGGCCTTCGCCGCGCAGCCGCCCGCTGATGGCGTCATTCGCTCTGCCCGAAGGGTTCTGCGGCTCGGACAGGCAGGCAGGCGCGGCGAGAACAGCTAAAGGCCGCCGGACCAGAAAGGCCCCTGGGGGCCTGGTGGGTGGTGTGATGTGCTTGGCTCGGCTCTCGGGGTCCCGCCTCGTTCTCAGGCTGCCACGGAGCGGGGTTTTTCTCTGAGGCCGACCCTGGGCGGGCTTGTCCCCTCAGGCTCGGCTGGTCGCAGAGTGTCTGACTGGCTGATCGGCGCCGGTCGGGCTGAGGGATGTCTGGAAGCTCCTCGGGAAAACAGACGGTGCCGGCTGAGGTAGGCCTCGGGGGGAGGGATGGGGATTAGCGTAGGTTTTAGGCCCGGTAATTATCCCTTAGTCTCTCTCTGGGCAGTTCCTCTTCAGTTGTGTGGGTTTTTTGGTTTATTTTAATGTATAAGGTGCTATTTTGTTTTACTAGTGCAATGCCTGAAAAGATAACTCCCTCATAGGATATTACCGGCCCCCTTGTAAATGTGCAAATTCAACTAAAAATAGGTTTTGTCTGAATAATGTTAAAAGCAAGCGGGCTCAGTTGTTGGTGCTCTTTGTAGAATCATAGAATCACAGACTAGTTTGAGTTGGAAGGGACGTTAAAGCTCACCCAGTTCCAAACCCTTGCCATGGGCAGGGGCACCTTCCACTAGACCAGCTTGCTCCAAGACCCATCCAGCCTGGCATTGAACATTGCAAGGGGTACAGCTAGGAGTATTGATCTGGAAGGTAGGAAAGATCTGCAAAGAGATCTGGACAGGCTGGATCGATGGGCTGTGGCCAGTGCTATCAGGTTCAACAAGGCTCAGTGCCAGGTCCTGCACCTGGGCCACAACAACGCCATGCAATGCTCCAGGCTTGGGGAAGAGAGGCTGGGAAGCTGCTCAGTAGAAAAGGCCCTGGGGGTGCTGATTGATGGAGCTGAACATGAGCCAGTTTGTGCCCAGGTAGCCAAGAAGGCCAACGCATCCTGGCCTGTATCAGCAATAGTGATACAGGACCGGAAGGACCCAGAGCAGTGATCATCCCCCTCTACTGGGTACTGGTGAGGCTGCACCTCGAATCCTGTGGTCAGTTCTGAGCCCCTCACTACAAGAGAGACGTTGAGGTCCTGGAGTGGGTTCAAAGAACGGCAATGGAGCTGGTGAAGGGCCTGGAGCACAACTGTGATGATGAATGGCTGAGGGAACTGGGGATGTTTAGTCTGGAGAAGAGAAGGTTCAGGGGGGACCTTTTTGCTGTCTACAACTGCTTGAAAGCAGGATGGAGCCAGGAGGTAGCTGGTCTCTGCTCCCAAGGAACAAGGGATAGGACAAGAGGAAACAGCCTCAAGCTGCCCCAGAGGCGGTTTAGACTGGATATTAGGGATAGTTTCTTCCCCAAAAGGGGTCAGGCATTGGAATAGGCTGCCCAGGGCAGTAGTGAAAGTGTTCAAAAACTGTGTAGATGAGGCCCTTAGGGCATGGTTTAGTGGTGGCCTTCGTAGTGCTGGGGCAATAGTTGGACTTGATGAACTTAAAGGTATTTTTCAACGCAGCTGATTTTGTGATTCTTGCCCTCAGATACTCCATTGTCTGTTAATGGTCTGTTTGATTAATTCTTACATGTAAATGGCAGAACATTCATAGACCTTTTTGGAGACAATGCATCTGTTCTCTTGCTCCTGTTTTCACAGAGCTCGGTTTTGGCATGTCATCTTTTACAGGTCCTATGGTAAAAGATTATCATGCGGTTGTTAGCAGCAGAGAGCCTGTGATCATTGTGATAATATTTTGGGGACCATAGATAGGCTGAAAAGTAGCTCTGGGTCTAAGTTTTTACACCCGTCCTGGCAGGGTATTTTTAAATTAAACATTGGTGCTGCTAACAGTTTTGTTTTGTCACCATCAGACAGACTTCTGAGTGACAGTCTGATTCTGGATTCCTCATACCACTTCCTCACAAGCAAACAAAACATTTGATTTTACTGTGCTGCCCAACTGATGGTTCTCTGGCGTCTATTTCTGACATCTAAACGCAAATGTCTGCATTGTCAGTGTTATAAAAAGAAAAAAGTAAATGCCACATGCTAAAACATGAGGGGCAGAGGACATAAAACATGAATATGACCTTAATATAAAAAGGATATAAATAAGCCTATACTAGTTTTTCATTCTTATGAGAGTTTTAATTTTTAGTTTGAACTTGTGTTTTCAGAATTTTCAGCTTGTTCAGATTTGCCGATTTGCTACAAAATATCAGTGTGTAAGGTTTTGAATACTAAAGCGTTTAATTGATGCATTCAAAAAACTGCCCAGGTTTGTGGCTAACTAGGAGTTAGTCATAGAATTGTAGAATGGTTTGGGTTGGAAGGGACCTTAAAGGTCATCCAGTTCCAACCTCCAATTCTAATGAAGTTCTTTAAACGTACAATGTATTCTTACATATGCTTGATAAAAATCTCCGATTTTGTAGAGGCAGCTGTACCAAATTAAGGGGAGGAGGGTGCTACATTGAAGCAAAACATTTGTATTTTACCAGGTCAAAGATTGGTTGGCGCATTCATTTGGTGACTTCTTAGGAAACACAAGTATTTCCCCCAGTGCCGTTCCTGTGAAGCCACTAGAAGACAACTCCGGTAGAAACCAGCAGCCGCAGCAAAAAGATGTGTCTTCTGTGACAGAAAGCAGAAAAAGCAAAGTTCTGCCCAGAAAAAGAGCAAAGTCATCTTCAGTAGATCTACATCGTAACAAGTCCAGACAAAACCAGAGCCAGTCTCAAGAAGAACCATGGGTAGATAGATACAAACCTGAAACTCAGGTGTGAGAGTTATTCTAAATGCTGATGTAGTAGTAACATTACAGTGTGACCTGTTGTGATTCTGTTCGTCATCTGTATTGGGCAGGTGCTATGTATATCCTGTTTTACTAGAGCAGGGAAGTACTAGTTGGATTTATTTACTGCCTATAGGTAAGATTTTAGTGAGGTATTTATCTATAGGAAATGCATTTTTCTCAGGCTTCCTGAGGATATAAAGGTGCTGATGAGGTGTTTCCTGTCAATCTATTCTTGAACTTCTGAACCTGTTTCTGAATTTCAGCTGGATGTCACAGCTCCAAGTACTAGGAAAATCCACAGCTAAAGAAAGAGGAGGTAACTGAGTCAGTGCACTCATTATGGGAGATAACAGAAATCATCTTGAGTGTTACTGGGCAGCAGGTAGCCAGTCCATTAGCATGTTCAGAGTACTTGACTGATTGTAGTTTCTGCTATCTACAGTTTGCTTGATGCATCTTGTACATGACTTTGAGGGTGTGGGCACTGTGGTACCTTAGGACTTCAAGGAGAAAGGACTCAAGCCTGTAGTAAACCTGTCTTCACTGGTTCTGCTCTTGAAACAGCTTTTTCACAGTGTGTTTCGAAGATGTTAGCGTGCAAGATAAATGTGTCTTAGTTTTGAGTGCTGGTTTATGTAAATAAGTATAGTACTTCTGTTTTATATTTAGATATTTAATATCTTGTCTCTGGAGAGGAATTGAGTTGCAAGGCTGGAAGATCAGTAAGTTGCATGAGATTTGCAGAAGTTCAGAAAAGCTGTGTAGTATTACTATCGGTAGAACCTAAAAAGTACCACTTCTGGCACAAACAGGCAAGATTGTAATGTTACTTTAGGAATAATAAATAAATAATCATTTCCCAACAGACAGTGATGTAAAATTGGTTGTTGGAGGAAACAGGCTGAAACGATTATTCTTAACTGTTCCACTTATTTCTACATAGTATGTTCCAGTTTCATATGTTTATGCTTGTACCTGTCTGTTAATATTCCAGTCAGCGTGTATTCTGTTCTTGAACCTCATTTTTACAGTCTTGGAAACCAGCAGGTGTGTATATGTACTCAGTATATTTTGATCTTGTTTTAGAATGACCTTGCTGTGCAAAAGAAGAAGATTGAAGAAGTTGAAGCCTGGTTAAAAATACACGTATTACAGAGGCAGCCAAAGCAGGTAATACTGCTAAAACTAGCATCTGGGGTTATAAAACCGTACAAATGAGCTGGATTCAATTTTATTTTCATTTCAGAGAAAAACTCACCTTACAATGCAATAGATACATAATCACTACCTGTAAGAAATCTGGTAAGGACATAGATTAGAGCTTGTAGATTTGTTTTGGGCTTATGCTGCCAACAGGTGGATTCGGGTTTTGCTCAGAAATACTGTTTTCTAGGATCAAGTCAGTTCACACCTTTGCAGTTTGTGCTTGTAACTGTGTTTTGTCTTCCACAGATTAATTTTAAGTATCTTGAGAAATTCCCAGTTGCACAGACTTGATATAATAGAATGTTTTTAACCTTGTGATTGATAAGAGGCATTCCTATACACAACCATAATTTGCCAGTCTTGCTTAGTGTTTTTCAGACCTGATTCTGCAGTTCAGTGTCTAATGTTTCTAGTCTACATGGTGTGCAGTTAACTAAGCAGATGCATTAAAAACTAAGAACGAGGCTTTCAGAGTTTGAGTCTAGCTCTTTCTATCTGAAAACCCAACAGGTAAATTAATAATACAAAATATTTAGCTCTGGTTTTATTGGGAAAAGAGAATTGTTACTACAGAAATTAAAGAAGAAACTCGGCTAATATTTATCTTCAGCCAATTTTCAGTCTTTATGTATCTTGTTTTGCATTTTTTTCCCCCCTCATTCCCCCTCCCCATGACAGGGTGGCTCTGTTTTACTGCTGACTGGTCCTCCTGGTTGTGGAAAGACTGCAACTATACAAATATTAGCAAAAGATCTTGGTGTTCAGGTGCAAGAATGGATCAATCCAATATCTTTAGACTTTGCAAAAGAAGACGTAAGAAATATGTTTGGCCATGGTAAGTATTTTGCTTTTTAATTTGCCCTTCCAGTTATTTTTGCATTGAGTTTTCT